ATTCTTTGCTCACTTAAAAATATTGTCAGATTTGATAATGGGCCTCTGGATAATTTAGAAAAGTTCTTCACCTAAAATGGCCATGTCACTTGCGCAAGTGTCTCGATTCTATGGCCCGTATCTCAAATAGAATCGGTTATGGAATCGAGACACTAACGCACGTGCGCAACATAGCGAACCTTTCGAGATACGGAGCCCAGATATTTCTGTTCAAAAAGTATGATCAGTGATATACTAGTATATTTAATATCAGCTGTATCCAGAGACGTAGGCCGACTATGAAATGGTACCATAATGTTCATTTGTGCAAATAAAATAAAGTTTGTCTAATGGCTTGGTCAACAAGGCCTTTCATAAGTTTAAGTACCAATAAAACATCACATTATTCAAAGGTCCTGGCTCTATTTCAAAGTTTCTTTGGAAATTTTTACATAAATAGCCTTCTTTTTTTATTGTGTGTGTGTGTGTGTAGAGAGAGAGAGAGAGAGAGAGAGAGAAAGCTAGGGAACTATTTTTTTAACGAGGTCGGAGGAAATATGTTTAACCATTGACATTAAGGTGGTTTACAAGGGTCAGGTTGCAGGTAAAGTCTTAGCGAAGACATAAATTAAATCAAAAATGATTGGGAGGTAAATCAAGGTGCAAATGCTCTGGGGGTTTCTTAGCAATAAATAATCCATCAATTCATAATCCACAGACTAAACAATTTAGATTAACTAATCATATCATATTCCATACCGGTCATATTGTAATTAATCACTATGCTTTATGGAAAAACATGAAACTCAAACCATCAATTTTGAGAAGTAAATCCGTCCTGATTGGAAGAAATTGGGTTGCATTGGATTTGCTGAGTAACGTTCATTTGATTACATTCATTGATTTGCAAAGAAAATTGGCTGTTTGGCTGAAGTAAAAAGATGATGACTTGGCTTTAATGATTGTCCATTATTTTGGACTCAGAATTAAGTTAAAGGCCTATTACTTTGTTTGCTATGCTGTTAAAGAAGCATGCATTTTATTATTAGAAGACTGGTAGTCATTTCATTGATTAATTTACAGACCAGTATCAGCCAGAAAAGGCAGCAGATGCAAGTCATAGTGAAGTGCCAAGCACCCTGATTCTCACAGCTTACTTACAGTTTTCACAGAGCCAGGCAGCTGATGTATGTAACAGTACAGTGCCAAATAGCTTGATTCTCACAACTCAGAATTTTCATGTGTTGTTTCTGCCATCGTCTTTGTATTTTTTTGCCTTTTTTCTCGATTGGGGGTGGGGGCATTTTTATTGAAAAAATATAATAAACTTAAACTTGACCGTAACTTTAAGCTTGGAATTGGTCTTAGACTATGTTGTATTAATTTAATGTAAAATTTACAGTAGTCCATGAAAGGTGAGTAACAAGTGACCAAAAGCAGTAGCAACTTTTTAATTTTATGAAAAAATAGCACACAATTGTATACAAGTGGAATACGACAGGTCATTGTAGATTTTAAAGTTTGGCTGTGAAGTTAAGACCAAAATTTGGTTTTAATTTCTTTAATGAAGTAGATTACAATTTGACAAAGGATGCAAAGAGTTCCACCTTTTTTAAAAATTCTATGTTTTCACATACAGTAAGTTTACTATAATATGCACTTCCACTTTCCTAGTAAGATAGCAGCTAAGAAGCAAGCAGCCTAGTTGCACAGGTTTATGTATACTTATTAATAATAGAATTAGATCATGCATTTGTAGAAATTCTGCTGCCACTTTTTTTCAAACTGTTTTTTTTTTTTTTTTTTTTTTCAAATCTGTGGGCTTTAACCAGTTCAGTAGCAGTCTAGAAGCAGGTTATACTGAAAAGGATTTAGGCTTTTTTTTTTTTTTAATCTCTCTCTTTTATTCAAATTCTGGGGTTAAAGCGTTTTTAAAAAGAGGTGCTTTGACAATGAAAAGTGTCCTAGACAACTGAATTTGATCTATCACCTTAAGATAAACCTATTGATAGTGAAATAACACACCTGTGAGAAGTCACAGAGCCAGTAGCTCTTTACCTTAATCAGGTAATGCAGGTGCATCAGCCAGACATGAGCCATCTTGGATATCGTGTCATTTGAATCCGGGTGTATTTTATTTGCAATGCTTAATTCATGAGGTGGAAAATAATATTGCTAGTCAGCAGATTGGGTTTTTAATGCTGATAATGGTAAGTTTGGATTTAAAAAGCTTGATTTAGGAGACTGCGTATATGTGTGTTTTCATGTGCATCAGTGCGTATGTATGTATGGTATGTGTGTGTGCTTGTTTATGTGCACCCTCTCTCTCTCTCTCTCTCTCTCTCTCTCTCTCTCTCTCTCTCTCTCTCTCTCTCTCTCTCTCACTGACGTATGTTGATACACAAGGATCCATGTTTTAGTAAAGGACAAGCGAAGACTGTCTTCTGGGTCTACACTGACAGGCATTGAATTTTTCAGTCAGAAGATGGTCAAAAATGGAGAATGGATCGACAAAGACTGTCAGAAAATATATTTCGATCCACCCATATTAGTTGGTAGGCCAGGGGATTAGGAAAAGTACAGAACTTTGAGGTCAGGCTCCAGTGAAGCAAAAATAAAAAAGGCTCAATGACATGTAATCTGCAGGGATGTTATAGTATAGTAGAAAGAGCATACTGTAGCTACCTGAATGGTGTGCCGCGGCGTGCAGGTAGAACAACCATCCAACTTATGCAAGATCAACATTCCCCCCCATGGAGAACTCTTTCCCTTCAACAGTAGCTGCCCTAGGCTGCATTCACAAAGGGGCTAAGATCACATACAGAACAGATTATCCACAGACTACCCTTAGCAAATGAAATGTTTGTAGCTATGAGCTTGCAGGAATTTTGTAAGAAAAAAATTATGGCTGTTAATTTGCAGCCATATTGCAGCAAATTTGCTTCAAATTGGCGAGAAGGAATTGTAGTTTGTAGCAATATTGCGGCAAATTTGCAGCAGGCCTGATATTTTGCTAAGGGTAACTGATATGCGGATTAAATATGGCCGACCCACTTAAAAGCAAAGCCTGTTGTCTCCCTGCCTTTACGTCTTCGGTTTGAGGTTTGAACATTAGGCCTCTGTAGGGATGGTATGTGTGTGGAGGCGGGGAGACCATAGGCAGCTATACTTTTGAGTGGGGTTGGCCCTATTTAGTCCACAGATCAGTAGGTCTGCAGATCATCTGTTTTGAATGTGGCCTAACAGATCTGCAGATCAAATATGGCCGACCCAGTTGAATTCTTGTCGTGTAATCCCCGCGAGGGAATTTATTCAGTGTCTAATAGGAGGTTATGCAGCAAGCTTTTAAGTGGATATATTTGCCAGATTTGATCTGCGGATCTGCCAATCTGCTATTGTGAATGCTTCCACAGGTTGATGTTTTCTCTCAGGTAGATGATCTGATATATACAACAGGTGTAAAAAAACTGCTATATATATATATATATATATATATATATATATATATATATATATATATATATATATAGGTGAAATAAACATGTATTAGCATATAAGATGTCTTAAAGAATCAATTGTGGATGTTCAGTCAGATACTAGTACTTGGAAGGTTGGTGAGTAGTGGCCTGTCTCAACATCTCTGATGGATATTTTCAATTTGGTTAGGCAGCATATATATATATATATATATATATATATATATGTATATATATATATAGATATAGATATAGATATATATATATAGATATATATAGATATATATACTAGTATATATATATATATATATATATATTTTTTTTTTTTTTTTTGCTTTCGGTATTTAACTGTTGAAAATGGTAAGATTTTTTTTTTCATTTTACCTATTCCAAAGAGAAATATTAGATATGCATTTGGTGAATTATTTATAAGCAAGCACCAGCACAGAACTGCATTTTTTTTTTTTTTTTTTCATTTGTGGAAATGAAAAGAAACTGGAATGTGGTCTGCTGTAAGCAATGAGAAGATGGTTTAATTATGACTGTCAGATTTTAGACTTTATGTGAAATAGGAACAAGGAGCTAAAAGAAATCTCCTTGGAATTTCCTTGAAATTTCCAAGAATTTCCTTTGGAGAGAGGGGAAACCCAGGTGTGGTCATCTTGGAATAAAAATAACTTTTCACGAGTGAAAACCGAGTTTGAAAAAAAAACTTGGAATCAGCAGCTGAAGATTTTTATCAGAATCGCAAAAAAAAAAAGCTCATAACCTAGAACTCATGGCAGTGGAACTCCTTGAACTCACCAAACTGGTGCTAGCACACTAAGGTATGATTATCATAGAGATAGAAAAAACTACTCCAGACATGTAGGATAAACATTTTATCCCGGCACTTAACTGAAAAAGTCGAACAGCTTGCGCCGAGGTCAGTAACCCTGGCAATGCACTGTTTAACAGATCTGGATTACATTGATCAGAAAGCAAATTTGTCCAAGGAATTGACTTAGTCCAGATAAAATTGGAGACAGGTTGTAGGTAATTTGAGAGATTTTCAGGTGCAAGGGTGAAGAGAAGGATATATTATCAGACATGAGCTTTTGCTGCGGAAACACGGAATTCCGCGTTTTTGAATTCAATTTTGATGGTTCCTGAGATTTGTCTTGTCTGAGATTCGATAAATTTTCAGATTTTTTTAAAACCTAGACTCATGTCTGTATTATATACTTCTGTGTTGAAATACAGACTCACTTTGTGTACCCTGATATTGCTGTTCTGATGTGGGATGTTTATTTTATGATGTAGAATTATAGACTTGGTCTGTGACTGATATGATATGTTATTTAAACAAAGAGCAATCATGTTTTATATTTCAGTATGTATATAGATATTGGTTGAATTGATAATAGAAATTTTGTTGACATGTGGTATTTAAAGAATACATTAGCTCTCACACTTGCATGCATGTAATGTGCATAAGCACACATACAAAATTGAGGGCAATCCAACTAATTTGGCAAAAAAGTAATTTTTTCTCTCTTTTTACAGAATTTTAGAACATCATCCAACGGTAAAAACAGCTTGGAGTCATCACTTTAGATTTCTCTGTGAACTGTAACAAAGATGGCAGAACCAAGGACCCTCTTGTCTACGGCACTGCCACCTACAGTTCAGATTGATTCCCCTCCTCCAGGGCCCCCAAACACATTGGAGCTAAGTGCCATAGGGAAAAATGACAACATGGAACAGGATGGGATCTTTACGATCTCTGGGCAGCTGCATACAGTCGCCACAACACCGAGTGATTTGAATGAGACAGTCATGACAAACGACAGCCAATCAGAGTTCGTTACTACCACAGATATTCACGAACGACAGCGTGAACAGTTACGTGAGGCTGGGTTCGACCCGGATGAGTTTGAAGAAGGAAGGGATTGTGGGTATGGAAAATGCCGTCCAGACTGTATGCAGACTTGCGCGAACATAAAAATGTTTATCTTTGTGATGTGCATTCTTTCTCTTTTCTCGGGATCTATATCTGCCGGGTACTTCAACAGTGTGATAACGACTGTAGAAAAACGCTTTGAGATTGGCAGCTCTCTATCCGGGGTCATCGCTGCCTCTTTTGAGTTTGGATCCCTCGTTGCTGTGATATTCGTAAGTTATTTTGGCGCACGTCGACACATTCCACGCCTTGTGGGCATAGGAGGTCTTCTCATCTCGCTGGGTGCCTTCATGTTCACCCTTCCACATTTCCTTGCAGAATCTTACACCATAAAAGGCGGCTTCATCAACAGCACCGAGCACGATAATATATGTAAAATTCCCACTTCGACATCTCTAAGCCAACCAGGAAGCACAGCGACCCTGGGTAGTGCCGCCATGATGAATTGCGTAGACTCTGAGTCTGGGAACGGGATATATGTATTTATCCTGATTTTAGCGCAGGTGCTTGTAGGGGTGGGCGGTACCCCCATCTATACCCTGGGGACTACTTATATTGATAACCATGTTCCCAAGGACAAGGCGCCCAGTTTGATAGGTAAGTGGACTAAAAACAGCTCATAAAAAGAAAAGTTACAAAAAAAAGGGTGCCAAAAACAGATACCTTCATAGACACTGTTAATAGATACTGGCTCAAAGTAAAAAATAGCACCTGGATGGGGTAGCCCTAACACGTGCCAATTTGGCCAAATGCTGAAACTGACTTAAATTAGCTAGAAAAAATAGAGTTGATTACACTTGTTTTAGTCAACTTTAAACCATTTGGAGGAATAAGTGATGAAAAAGTAGTGATTTGGCAAAACAAAAAAAAAAATAAATTGCTTGTGCTACCCCAGATTTGGTGTCCATTAAAATCTTGTACTCCAGGTGTGAGTGTGCGTGCGTGCACGTGTGTACGTGTACATGTGACTAAACACATAAGTTTTATTGACTTCAAAATAAGCAAAGTTCTAAACTACTGTGACATATCTTGAACTTCAGTCTGCCTGTCTGTTATTTTGTCTTTAATTTCCTTTCCAAGTGTGCAGTAGAACTAAACCTGTTTTTCTCCATTTCAACATTTCACAGGTGTTTGTTTGTTGGACTAAATTGCATTTTAATGTCACGTACAAACTTCATCTTTAAACATGCATGGTAGCCATAAAATTTGACTAATATAAGCATAAATCTAAGCTGTAAATGATCAAGGGTCTCTTTACTCCCTAAACATGATTTAGGACGTGGAATTAATTTTTTTAATAGTCTCTGAATCCCCAGTGTATGGTAATGTATAAATAAGAAGACCGGTAAAACGGGTATTATATCTGATTATGTAGCAAACACATGTTTTATTCACATATATTTCAAGGGGAGTTTAAGATGCATTAACTGGAAATGAAACACCATTTTTTAACATAATTATTCATTTATTTAATATGCAACTTTTGGGAATCATATTAGATCAAACAAAATTTTTTGTCAAAATTTTTGACCATAACTTAGGAGTTACGACCCTAAAAAGCTAGCAGTGAGATAAAAATGCAATGGCTCAATAAGGAAAATAATTAATTTTTTTTTCTTACAATTTAGTCTGTTTTTTTTTTAATTCTTTGGACTCATGACAAATTAATCAGAATTCATATCTACATGTCGAGGCCTTCAGAAGAAACAGATATGTTTATGTTTGGAGAAAAAAAATGAGTTAATATCACCATGACTTCTCCTATGCCTTAGCACTCGCAGCACAAGTTTAGGGATCATTCTTAGACCCTATCGTACTAACTGGGGATTGATCCAACTCTGAGGGGATTCTCGCTAAATTGCATTTAACTTGAGTAGCTTAGGTGTCTGTCAGGCCTACTGAAGCTGCTAGGGGGTAATAAATTATCATTTAGCAGCTTCAATAGGTGTGCCAGACATCTACTAGTAAGCCGCTGAAGCTGAAAGCAATTTAGCGAGAAACCCCTTGGAGATGGATCAGTCCTGTTAGATCGACCTAGGTATGGAAACCTAGTCTTAAACTCGTGTCAGAATTGATCTTTGCGTCTGGGCCTTTTCAGGACCATGTTAAACCCTTGGGATCTTGCAGTGTTTGGAGAAAAGCTGTGATTATGTCCTAATGAATTACTTGTGTGTTGGAGTTCTATAATCATGAATAATTCTTTGTTTTCTGTGTTCCATGTAATGTTGACATTATTAATGAAAAAGGTCCCAGTTGTTATCAAGTGCAATACCTTATTGTATTGCATAGAATTCTCATACTTCTTTCAGTACAATGTATGTTCCCCATGTTGGAACCTTTGATAAAACCCAGAGTGAAAAACAGGTACAAGTTTGAACTGAATTTTAAAACTTAACCTTTTTAGTCTGATTAATACATTTGGAAAACAGAAGGTTAATTCAACTCTCTGCCAGTTCCATTGACATGTAGTTGCCCTGGATTGGTAGTAGCCCCCTGAGTAATTCCGCAATGCCCAGGACGACACTTTCCATGATCAATTGATTAAGTTGTCAGGAGATTATTTTTAGAAAAAATACAATAAAGGGTCCATTTCTACAGGTGTAATTATTTTGTTCACCTGTGTCTAGGGATAAGTGATGGTAATTAATATTACATTAACATGGTGACATCTTCTTTTTACTGAAAGATTTTAATGTAAAACAGTGACTGATAAAGGATTATTTTTTAGATTTTTTTTTTTTACTTTAAATGAATGGACAGTTATGCAGACAGATGGTCTGACAGACAGACAAACAGACTATAAGCATTACACACTTAAGTATTCCATACTGGACGAGTATAATTTTTTAACTAAATTAATGCAGTGGACGTGTATGTTAAATGTTACATGATAACTTAGTAACACTGATGATTTTCACAATGTCACCTTGGCAGTTAAGAAGTCGGCCTGGTGACTGGTGATAACAATTTTATATTTGACAATCAAGTCCTTTCCCTCAAGATGTTATTGATTCCATTATCTAAGAATGTGATGAAGTTAACTGCATTTATTGCTTAATGGCTATTTCAAAATTTTTCAGATTTGCCTCGATGTATTGACACATACTTCTATACTTTATAGGGTAAAAAAAGAATAAAAAACAAATCCTTTTATCCTTGATGGTAACTTCCTGTATGATCCAAAGCAGCAGTTGGTTGAATTTCCTCCAAACCTTTCCATTAGTCGAGACAAGAGAAGTTTTTGCAATATATTCTGTCTCCAGCCTTTGATATAACTTCTACAGACTAGACATGCAATACAGTGTTGCTTGATGGGGATAACAATAGAAGTTGAGTTAAAAGAACCCCCACACATAGCTGACATTTGCATAGTTTAATAGCATGCAATTCTATTACTAATTCATGGCAGTGTAATCCAGGTGGTAATAATGAAATTGAAGAGTGCACCTTCAATTTATTTCCTGAAATTTTGTTTTTGATTAGATGTCGGGGATGAGCCTAGCAAAGTAAGGCAATACTAAGGTCGTGTTACTAAGAAAATGTATAAAGATGCGAATGAGACAGTCCTTTTAGACATGGAAAAAAATGGACAGTTTTATTCCCTTAAATTACTAGAAATTAGTCCAACTTGAGAAACGGCATATTAGTATAACATAGATCAAATCTGGATTCAGGTGAAACTTTTCAGTCAAAAGGGCAGTTCTCTCAAACCCACTGCCCCCCCGGCCCCCTCCTGCCCCCTCCTGCCTATGGACCTGGAAAAGTTACACCTTTTAGTTTACCTTCTTATGGCATTTTAATGATTTTAATTTAAAAATTGGCTAGATTAAAGTTTAATAAACTAAAGATAGTCATATTGTGCAAAGGGATATTTAAAACCCTAGAAGAAAGTATGATGCAACATTTGTTAATAGTACACATAGAATTAGCAAGTTTAGTAAATAAAATTTGGGTCCCTCTAACTAATGTTTGAAGAAGTACAGTAGACTTCAGTTTAACACAGTCCTTGCTCCATTTTCATGCACTAAATCACGTAAAGATGATAAATATGTTGATTAATCTGTTTTACCTGTGGCTCTGTGTTCCCGGGGGGAGTGTGAAGCACTGGACCGAGAGAATGAAAGAACTAGAGCATGAGAGAGAGAGAGAGAGGCCATTCAGAATGGCCCCAGAGAGAGGAGGGCGCACATAAACAAGCACACACATGCCAACAAATATGCACATATTCACACTGATGAACATTCACATACAAATCTTGATAGATCTAAGGTTTTGTCCTTAACATTGTGATGTAGCCAACTTTCAGTGAAGCATGAGCATTCTTTGTGATATAGTATTTTTGCTATAAAAGTCATTGTGTTGTTGTACCATAGCCTTATATCATTTTCTTATATAGATTTGTATCTGCACATTTTCATCAGTACACACTAGTTAAGAATTACAATATTGTTTTATTTATTTATTTATTTATTTATTTATTTATTTATTTATTTATTTATTCATTTATTTATTTATTTATTTATATTTTTTTATTTATACATATTAAATTATAAATGATTATGCCAAGTTGGCAATACTTGTCTGTCATTGTTTTTCTTGACACTAATAAGTAAAAATTATTTTTCTTTCTCTTGCAGCATTTATCTATGCAACATCTGCCCTGGGTCCAGTGGTAGGGTTCGGACTCGGTGCTCTTCTTCTCCAGTACTACGTGGACGCCTTCAGCTACGACTACCGCACCCTCAATCTCACCACTGAGGACCCGCGTTGGGTGGGTGCCTGGTGGGGAGGCTTCCTCCTTTTTGGGAGCGTTCTGATTTTAATCGCAATTCCTTTCTTTGGTTTTCCCAAAACTCTACATGCCGATTTAGAGGCGAAAATTTTGAAAGACAAGGGGAAGACAGAATCAGAAGTAGGAGAGCCGAAGGATGATGAATATGGGAAAACTATCAAAGGTAACAAAAGGGAAAGTTTTAAGGCATTGCACAGCTGTTAAAATTCTTTTTCTGAAAATATTGATTGTAGAATCCTACACTTTGCTTATTTTGTGTCAGATTATTGACATATTATGCAATTCAAAAGGTATAGAAATGAAAAATGAGGGTAATATAGAAAGACAGTGATGTAGTTTCCATCTCATATTGAAAACACGTATAGCATTACAGAGTTTTTTCACGTTATTAAGATGACGACTGCTGTTGTACTGCATGTTAAATATTCATAATGGTACCAGCATCCGCCTTGCTCCTATTCGTTAATATAACGTCAGTATGTGATAAATAAATAAATAAGTGGAAAATACAGCCCCCGCTCCCCCCTCAACCACCACCTTTTGGGATGCAAAATGTCACAGTCTGGAACAAAGCCGCTGAACCCACGCAAGATGGCAATAAAACAAAAGCCAGGACAATAAAAATATTGTAAATATGTCCAGTCACTGGACACATTGGGTCAGTAGTTCATGACCAGTGGCATCTCAAAAAGGTCAACACAAAGTCAAAAGCTTTTTGGCATGGACTGGTGACATCATTGGTTGTATTGGATGGAATTAATCTATATTCCATCAATGGTGTACCACATATAGGCTTTTCAACAACACTGTTAATAGAAAAGCAATTTTATTTTATAGATCAGCTGATTTGTTTTCAGACTGTTGATGTATTGTAATTGTTATGTATGAAATCATCAATATTTTACATAAATTTTGAATGTTTCAGACAGCGTATATATGTTCTGTTTTCTAGACAATTCCGAAATACTCATGATGTAACTATATTATATTTTTCTGTGTATGGAAGGAACATATATATACACTTTAGTAAAAATGTTGAAAAAAATATTTTTAAAGAAAAAATCTGTTTGTGCATACATAGTTATATGTCTATATGTTTTTACAAATTTAACAGATGAATAATTACAACTGGCATTATGTAAGAATATTTTATTCATTTATATTAATATATTGATTTATTGCTTATGTTAATGTTTATTATTATTATCACCTACAACAAATTATTTTATTTATATTTATTTTCTAGACATTCCACGTGCAGTATGCAGTCTACTACGTAATGCCATCTACCTCCTGACGTGTTTTGGCGTTTGCTGCGAACTCGCCATCGTCAGCGGTTTTCTAACATTCCTGGCTAAGTACATAGAACACCAGTTTTCCATCAACAAGTCTCAGGCTAATTTATTCACTGGTAAGATTTGAAAGGGAACTTTATCAGAATAGGTAGGCTGTTTAAGATTGGTCGTTAATGAGCAGGGACGGGCATAAATTGAATTTATACCCTCAAAAGTTTGTTTTCAGCGGTAAAATTATGCATGTGTATGTCAGTCTTTTTAATTGCTTAGAATATCAGTTCTGTGTCAAAATAGGATTCATTAATGATGAAAAATAGCATTATTTTCTTTTCATTTCTTATATTATTTTCTATGTATTTTCTCCTCTTTGGATGGTTACAGCAAGATTGTAATTGTGCTTTGCATATGTATCAGACACTTCATAAGTTACTGAGGTGTATATGATGTATAGTGTAAAGCACATCATATACACATTGTTTGACTCGNATCCTTGATCTAAGCAAAAACCATCAACAAGTTTAAAACAAGGAAGATGTACATTAATTATTTAAAAGATAAACCTCAAACGTTTTAGTGTTGGTATGGTGCCACATGGTATTGTGCAGTACTGTGTGGTATGGTGTATTAACGTTCCTTGTGTTTCAAAAGAAAATGAACAAAATATTTTTTTATCTCTATAAAATTAACATTTTCACAACTGTATACAATACAATTTAAAGATACAGTAACTCAAAACAACAGTTGATAAGTCAAGTATGCGAAGTTTAACTAAAAACACACACACACACACACACACACACACACACACACACACACACACACACACAGGTATGCACATGCATGCACACATATATGCATGCACACCAGACACACACACAGGCTCGCACGTAATCACACACAGACAGACATATTAACACACACACACAGGTTTACACACGTGCACACACAGAGGCTCACACACACACATTCATGCGCACACATACACGCTCTCTGTGTTCTATTACAGGTGGTATAGCTATACCTGGAGCAGTGCTTGGAGTCTTGTTAGGGGGGTTTTTGATGAGGAAGTTGCAGCTTAAACCTAAAGGTGAGGAGAGTCTTTGTGGAGAATAGAGTCAGATTGACTAGAAAATTTTATAAAAACAAAAAATACTCTAAGTAATTTTCTCTTTTATTTGCCATAACTTAAGAAAAGTTCCCAGCGGGGACAGAGCAATTAAATCTCAGCATGCTTTCAAGTAGGCCACACCATATCTGATCCACGGAATAGCTAGTCCATGGATCATCTGGTTCTGAATACACCATAAGAGTCTCTAACAAGCATATTTTGTATACTTATACCCTTATTATCTGCTACAGGTGCTATCCAGATGACTCTTATACTGAATGGACTGGCCATAGGTGTCATGGTCTTACTGCTGTTCACTGGGTGTGAAAACAGAAAGATAGCTGGCGCCACTATGCCATATTCTGCAGGGTGAGCTGATGTTTTGTGTATCTTACCTACCATTTCAGCCATCGGTCACTGTTTCAGTTTTTGATTTTATCATTGACCCCATGGCAAAATGTAAAAGTTAAATTGTTGTAAATTTGTTCACTGACTTCATGGCCATTGTATTTGTTTTGGACTAGTAAATTCTTATACACTGTCACAGACCCATATTTACTGTGGTCTCTGCTCTTGACTAAGTTATACAACAGAGCCTAATAAACACTTAATTTTGCAAAAAAGAAAAAAAAAATGAAAATACAATTAATTTTAAGGAATCTTTGAAAATTGTATAATGTTTTTTAACGTCTTTTATTGATATTATTGTTTGAACAAGTTTTGAAAAAAATTAAAATGAAAAAAAATTAATTAAATTAAAAGTTAATGTATCTGATTTTAAGTAACTTATAATGATAAATTTTGATATATTTTGAATATATTTGTAGTCTTGATGATTCACTGGAGTTTGAAGCCAATCTGACGTCATCATGCAATGACGCCTGTTCCTGCTCAACAAGAGCAATAGATCTCATCTGCGGAGCTAATGACATCACATATTTCTCCCCGTGTCACGCAGGGTGCACACATTTCTATGCTAATAATAATGATGTGGTAGGTATAGCCAGGGTTAGCTACATCATTTTTCTCCCTATGTCATGCAGGGCGTATACATTTCTATACAGAGAATAATGATGTATTTAATGCAATTTGCTAGGCCAGAGTTTGCAGTAAGTAAATTACATGCCAGTCAGTAAAATTTGATGTCATGTTCTGCACATCATGTTCTGCATTTTTTTTTTTGTTTGTTTTTTTTTTTTTGTGCTTATAAAGAACTGAGATATTTTCATTCCTGAGATTGTTTACATTCATGCTTGGTTTAATTTGCGGACGAAAAAAAAAATTGTTTGCTGATAAAGTTAATATTGATCTAAAAAAGATGGCAGTGCAGTATGACAGACTACTGAAGGGGAATAAATGCTTTTTGAGGGACCTAAAATTTGTGATGCAATTTGAAATTCGCATATAATATGAATATTTCAGGTAAAAGATGACAGTGACAGAGTATTGAGCAATATAAAGAACTACACAGACTGCTCCTGCATTGTTACGAACTCGTCCACGGACATCATCGTGTCCCAGCTTGCGCGCAGCGGACCCTGCCCCCATGAATGCAAGAATTTTGTGTACTTCATGATTCTTCTGTTTGGTGCTACTTTCCTCACAGCAGGGACACAGATGCCGCTGCTGATGGTGACAATGAGGTAGGTGGCGCTGCATGGTGTTCATTTTGATTTCTTAATTTGGTTTTCTTCGTGACATTGAATGAAGTGTTTGGTGCTAATTTATAGGTGTTGACATGTGATGTGATATAGAATCATACAATTGATCGTCTTTGAAAGACATTTTTTTGAATTTCTTTTCTATAATTTAACTTCATATATAAAGTAAACCACAGTGTGATTGAGGTCAATGTGTTTTTTAATTAATGCTGATATTTTGTTGAATAATTTATTTTGATGATTCTTTCCTTTAATTCAAATAAGGCAAACATGATCACATATTGGCTGTTTTGTTTTAAGCTGAAAACTATACCTTTTTCTCAAGGATTTAATTGCCTTTTTAATACTCTTAGGTCAGTTGCAGAGGAAGAGAGGTCTTTTGCTCTTGGGATGCAGTTTGTGATAATGAGACTACTTGGTAAGTCTTCATGATCAGGTTATGGAGCAGAAATTTCCACTAGTTTATAATATGTGTCATTTTAAACATTATTGCACATGGAGAAAGCATTAATCTCCAAGTTTGTGGGAGTATGGACCATCTACCTGAAAATGTGCCAAAACTTAGTAGTTTTGGCCAGTGGAGGGTCATTTTGAAAATCACTGCACCTGAAAAATAAGTGCAGACATCTGTAATTGTGTGAGCCATCATGTTTGTCATGTAAGATATGTTTTCAGGGGAGAGTGCAAATAGATAAATATATTATTAAAGAGTAAAATAGAAATTACTGGAATCCATTAGTGGCAAAAGGTGAATTTCTTGAATTTCTTGTATAGGCCATGCACACACATTGCAGAAAAATGAAAAAGAAAGAATATATCTGATACTGAGAAAAAGTGTATTATTGTGTGTATAAAGTATATTATTGTGTATAAAAAGTATATCAGTGTAAAAAGTGTATCATTCTGTATAAAAAAGTACATTATTGTGTATAAAAAGCATATTTTTGTCTATTCTTCCAGCTTACATTCCTTCCCCCATTATGTTTGGGAACTTGATTGATACAACATGTCTTGTCTGGCAGAAACACTGTGAGGCCAATGGCTCCTGTCTAGTCTACAATATAGAGCAGTTTAGATTCAAATATCTTGGTGAGTTTCTGCAGGTTGAGTAGTTTTTTGACAATGTTTTCACACACATGCATAGAGAGAGAGAGAATTTACAATTTTTTTCTTTACATTTAAAGCAGCTATGGAAGTATACCAGGGCACCACAAGGCTTGCACAAAAAATGAAACTGTAGAATTTTTTTTAATTTTTGCTTTGAGTTGGGAGACTGTGGTAACATCAAATGAAATAATTCAATTGATTTGTTAAGTGGTCTAGGTTACATGTAGTTTTGTGCTTAGGTATTCTGGGCAAGCATTTATTTATTGGTGAGGAAAATGTTATTTTTTCCTTTGGAATATATTTAATTTGGCTTATAAATTTCAGATAGGATACCTTAAACATATTAATGGCTTTCTCTTTGCTTAAATTGCCAGGCATTGCATTGGGTCTGAAAACTCTTGCCTCGTTGCTGTTTGCCTTGGTGTGTGTCCTCATACACAGAAGTATCATGAAGGACTTGCAGCAAGATATGAATGTGAGTAGGAATGCATTGTCAGAAAAAATTACCTAGGGGTTTGTTCACAACATACTATTGTTCTAGGTAGATTCATTCACTTCTTTGGGGACTCTCGTCAAATGCAGTCAGATTGCTGAATGACATGCCTCCATTTCAGATTTTGTAATTGAGTATGTTTTAATGTACATATTAGTGTTGTATGTTAATATAATATTTTATGCTTTCATTATATATTATGATAGAAAATACTAAGAAGGAATAAATGAAATAATCAGAGAGTGTGTATTTCAGATTGGCGATATGGTGGAGTCCATGAGCAATATAAATACACTATCACTGGACTATGAGCATCGTCATCCCGAAGAGGCAGAGGCAGAGAGGCAGCGACGCTACAGCAGCAGCACGTGTTCGCATCCAGGAAGCCCAGTTTCCAGACACAGGAGCAGTGAGCGCAAGTCACACCATAAACATGCATCACACGAATCAAACGTGCACCACGGGGAGCAGTCTGAGCATGGTGGGTGGGAAGGTGGTTTGCATTCATTGCCACAAGAGGGAAGAGACTCTAACCAAAGAGAAATCACACAAAACCAACATAATGATGTTTTACAAGGTGGTGCTGGACATCATCCAAGACAGGACACAGATTCTGAAGTGCCATCAAGTGGGGAAAAGATAAGTCACTTGCGACACAGGAAAAAGCCGAGCAATGGGGGCAAACCGTATGTAAATGAGGGGTTTGTCACAGAAGAAGAAGGAGCAAAGCCAGTGCCAAAGGATTTGACAGACAGTCTTGCTCCGCCCACGAAGCAAAATAACTTTGAGGAAGCCTCTTTTGTGAATGAGACAAATTCAAGCACAAAACTTTAGTTCTTCTTTGATATGGATGGCTGCTAACAAAAATGATAATTGTCTGATTATTTAAACTTTGAAATGTGATCTACACTTGTTGTTAGTATACACAGTGAGGTATACTGTGAAAGAGGTTTTTTCATGGTCTCCAGATGGGATGATAGAATAGAATTATTCATTACTTAGAGACTTAAACAACATCATAAATCAAACTTCATTGACCTAGAGGTCCACTACCTGTGGAATGCTGGTTTTGCGCCAGAATTGGATGTTAGACCCCATTCCCACAGATTTTAGATTGATCTATCCCTGTGGGGAGTCTCACTAGATTACTGTCAGCTTAGCCAGCTTAAATGTCTGTCCTGCCTACTTAAAGCTGTAAGGGGGTAATTAACTACCGTGCGCGGTCCGCTGACAGCAGTTTAGCGTGAACCCCCAGGGAGTTAGGTCAATCTAGTTTGATAGATCTAAATCTCTGGGTATGCGCTCTTAGTCTGTAAGTAAAGAATAATTCCTTATAACAATTGTGTTTGTTTTGTCTTTTGGTTGTTTTTGTTAAATCATTGTTTGTGAGGTATATCTGCAAGCAATTGTTCCTCAAATTCTGGATGAAATGAAAGAAAATCATAGGTTACCATTATCAATTAATATTTAAATGTTAGGTAATTGGTATAAGAATAAGTAGAAATAGTCTTCAGCATTACATATGGCTTGCTTAGATAAAGAAAGAGGAGAACTAGATATTATTTACAAAGGTGTCAGAAAAATATCAAGAGATTCTGTGATTTAATGTATAAAATGTTTGTGAACTGGTAGTTTCAGTCTTTGAGACAAACGTTACATGATATGAACTATAATATATTGCATATATAATCAGAGAAGGATGGTTTATTACTTAGAGGTGGCCCTTAGTTTGCTTTACGTATCTACAATATGCTCCATGATATTTCTAAATTTGTGAAGGGTTGAAAGTCATGCCTAAATGTTTCATATGGAGAGCTAAGGTGGGTATATCATTCCATTTCTTAAACAGTGGGCTCTCCCACCCCCTCCCTCCCCCACCCCCGCCCTCTTTAATAAAAGCAATTGATTTTTACTTAACCCAGGAGTTCTATTTCCTGTGATAAGAAATAATAAGAACCTTTCAGTTTTCACGCCTCACATTTCTGTGATGTTTTAAGATATAAAAGCATATTCAATTATACCCAACAGTCACTTTTTTAGTGTTCTGTGATATATGCATGTTTCCATATCGTCTATTGTATTTTGAATGTTATCTGCTTTATTGGGAACTCTGACCCCCCCTCCACAGCCACCACCAACAACAATAGTCCTGCAAGATCTGCTGATTGAGTCCATTTAGGCTTTTTGTTGGAAAATGAGCCTGTCCCACAAAGAAGTTATCCACAAACTTTTAACCAATGCATGATGGAAGCCATTTGAAGCATTTCTGATGTAAAAGTGGTTAAAAGTTTTTTATTATTATTTATTTATTTATGTCATTTTTTGTGAAAAGGAGGTCCCTGATACTGAGAATATCATTAACTTCATTCCTTCTGTATACATAGTGAGTGCAATGTTAAGTAATCATATATAAGACTGCAAAAAGCCCCCTCTCCTGTATTTAGATAGGAGATAATTATATAACATATAAGTGAATGAATGACATATAGCAAAATATCACAGTAAGACGTGTGCTTTCTAGTCCTAGAATTTTTTTTTTTTACTTTGTGCCAAAATGTTGTTTGGCAACATGCAGCAGCCTTTTTGGCATTGTATTCACGTTTTCAGATCTGAAAAAAGCTCAGGTCTGTGCCTAAAAAAAAAGGTTTCACAGATAAAAAGGTTTCAAGATGTCAGAAATTTAGGGGGGAAAAAAGGTATTTAACTCTGACGTTTTTTGCCAACATGCATTTTGGCATCTTGCTGCAGCTTTTCCCTCTGTTGTTGTTTTACTGTATACCTTATAGATGCTGTGTTGTATTTTGTTAAGTTTGTTGCATATGTTATTCTAGAATTTGTAAAGATATGTCCCATATCATAGTGGCAGAGTTTTAGATCAATTTGTCTCTTAGTAGTTTTAGAAGAACAAGTGTAGTCTTTCGTGAAACTTAAGGAGTGCATACTTATGTCTACTTTTGTTTACAAGCATCGGTTTTTGGAAAACTCTTTCCTAGTTCTAGTAAATATTATTGCTAGAAGCAAGCAATGATTGGACATGCTACATGAATGTGTGTACGTGTGCATTCTTGTTTGTTTTTTTACCCATGCCAAATATGTTAATATCAATTATGCTAATGTAGTTATGTGATTTGCCTTAATTTTGATTGGTGGTATGTAGCAATTTTCCTTCTTAGGCAGAACTATACCTACTTCTTGCAATTCTTGGAAAAATTGCTATTTTAGTGTAACAGTTCTCTTTTTTGTTGTTGGTTTGTTTTTGGTTTTTATGATGTTGTTTTATTATCTGGTGTCACATGGGAAAATATATGACCCAAGACTGATTTTGCTGTGCTTAGGTACAAAAAAGAATTAGATGAGAAAGGTTAAAGGTATTCAGGTCAAGGTAATTAGGTCAAGGTTAGGTACAGCTCTGTGAATATCTTACTGTCAGGTAGCATCATATCATGTCATATGATTTCAAACATTCCACAACACAATGCATTTTATATTGAAATGATTGTGAATTTTATTCATTGTAGTATAAGAAGTACAAGTGAGGTGTAGTATTACCATTGTAGAGGTCATATAAATAATCAGCATTTATTTGTTATAGGTAAATAGTAGGTGTTGTTTGTTTTGGAATTGTTTGTATATTTGAAGTTGGTGATGCATGTATATTAAAACCATTAAAGCTGGAGCTTTGAATTCTTGCCACTAGGTGGAGGCACTTGCCTGGTGACAAGCCCTACTTTTTTTCTGAGAATGTTAATTATTTAATATGTAGATAGAAATATTTATTTTAATTTTTTGTTTGTAGATTGCTCTTTGCATAATGTCTCACGTAGTGCAATGCAGTGTTCTGTTATTTATCTGAAAGTGGTCACTTTTGAAGATTAGTGTGAAGTACGTGGTGAAGGTCTTTTCTCAAAGAGTAAATAGACAGTACAGAAAGCTTACAGTATCTTGCATGAACAAATGAATGGTAGCCGTGTTCATTGAGTTTATTTTGTTTTTGTTTTGTTTTTTTTTTTTTTCGTTTTTTTTTTTTTTTCTGTTTTAAAATTGTTTGTTTTAGCTCTGCTGTTAGGGTCTTTGTTATGCTTGTCGATACTTTGTGTTATGTTGTAATTGCTGTTGGTAGTCATTAAGGAGTCATCCATTTTTACCATGATTTTCACAAGTCCAAAAAAGCTTTTTCCAGACCCCCTCCACCCCCCGCTCCCTGCCTTCAGAGAGTACAATGTGAAAAGCTAAAAAATAAAACTCATCCCCCCCCCCCCTCCAGCATACGGTTTGTAGATTTGTGAAAATAATGATAAAAATGGATGACCTCTTAACAGCATTTGTGATTTAATTTAATAGTTGTCACAGGGGAACCAACAAGGGAAAAAGCACAAAAATAACTCCTTTTGTACTTAATGTTTATGTTCCACTGTTCATGATGACATCATTAAAATGACTGATGACATCACTAAAATGACTGATGATGTCATTTGTACCCTTTGAAACGTCCAAAATAATTGACTCGCAATACTGAAATGTGATAGCTTAAATATCGATTGCTGCTGAACGAATATGAAATGTCACATATATGCAAATTAAAGACTGAATCGCAGTTTTTTCAAGTTCTGAATTAGTTAAAATAATGGCTTTGTATCAAGTTGTTTAGAGCACTACTACAAATACACATGCTTTATAATTACAAAGTAGCGGCTTTTTATCTGAGGGATATTGTATGTTATTCCAATTATGAAACAGATGGGGATTCAACCAATCTGTCAAACATTGCTAATTTTAACTGTGCTACATACTGGTGATGTGTAATCTTGGTTCATACAACTGTACATCAAGGTAAGTGCATAAGTGATTTTTTTTTTCTTCAAGCATCTCATACACAGATGCGTAATAATTTGAATGAGTTGAAAAAGAATGTAATGTGGTTAGAAAATGAATGCCTCCAATATAAAAAATGCCATATAAGGAGAAAAAGCGAGGCCAGACTTGTTATATGTATATTACATTGTTAGGACTTGTCAAAGACTTGTGTTAATATCTCGCTTGATGTGAAAATGGCCTGCTGTATGTTTCTATCACTTACTGATATGGTGAACCAAAGAAAGAGAAAGTTGCTGTTCAGTTATATTCATATATATATTCAAGAATGATTTGTTGAGTGGACTTTATTTATGATGATTTAATCAAGAATAAAATATTTTGTTGCAGATTGTTTTTTGGTTTTTAAATAGATTGAAGCAAAGATATGGTTCATTGGTTTCAATACATCCACAGCAAACCTACCACACTCCTGATGTTCTGTTATTATTTATTTCATGTGAATCATTACAGTATTTTTTAACAAATCGTTTTGTCATTTTCCTCAACTTCACTTAAATACCTTATTACACCAACTGCACATTTGATATACAAATAATAATATTTTCAAAAAATTGTACACTAATGAGTCTTATCATTGCATACATGCAAATTATGCATACTAAGTAGTACTATACCTTTTTTTTTTTTGGGGGGGGGGGGGGTCAAGGTATAGTAAGTATTAATTTCTCTTCTCCACAACCCTTGCGTACATTCTGCTCATTGTGTTGCAACAGCAAAAAGCTCACTCTCGGGTGTCCTATTTGCCAAGGCCAATTTCCATTGGAAAAATTAAGTCAGATGGTCGGAGTTCAATTGTAAAGCAAAAACCTTGTGGCCTTTGAACCCAGATGAGAATCCTGGTGTCTGAAGATTATTTATTTTTATATTTCTACATACAGCTTATTAAATACTTTTAGTTACTTATGTTTAGAGATGGGTGGAGTAAACACACATACACAAAACAATGGAATCTTACATCTGAATACTTAAAAAAAAAAAGCACCATTTGCATTCTGTGCTGTAAGTCACAAGTCTCTTGTAGGCTTCGGAAAGTAAAGAAACTCCAGACTTTCTCAAAGTTACTGCCGCCATCAAATTGGTGGTAATTTCAGCAGCTGCTTTAAATACATTTGTTTTACAATTTTCTTTCATATCCTGTTTGACAGGAGTTTTTAAGCATTTTCAAACATTGCCACAATGTCTTTAAAACATTCTTTTACAAAATATAATGCTTATCTTTTAATTAGTTTAAAAGACTTCCAACACCTGTGTACATCCACTGCAGGTGTCTAACATCTTGATACAGCTTGATGCTGTATTGTCATCTTTTTTCTTTAAATCCGTAAATCCCTTTTCTCTAAAACAAAGAAATGACCAAAAACAGCTAGTGGGTCCGTTTGTCAAATCAGAGCAGGAATACAGTTACTTTGCCCAGTTGGGGCTCAATCTGCACTCTGCACAAACATTAAATTGAGGTAAGTCCATCAGATTCTGCACTATTGACCAAGTGCTTCTTCATACTCAAGTTTATTGAGACCTTTTTTATCAGTCCTTCTAGACCTGCCTTATTCAAGTCTATTTTTTTCTCATGTTGCACATGCCTCAGTCCTAAAATGTTTCCAGACTAGACAACATTCAGATATTGTCAAATTTCAATTCAAGTCCGGTCATCTCCTCTTGAACAAGTAATGCCTCAATAATAACACTCCCAAATAAAACACTATCAGTTCATTGAGACCTTACAAATCAACAATCTCTCCAGACCTGACACATTCAGGTCTTATCGATCCCTTTCCTGTTGCACATTTGGCATCTCAACAACAATGCTACCAGATACGACATCATAGACTGCCCTGCCGTGTTGAAAGAATAAAGCTGTTAGACAGAGAGGGAAGAAGAATGCCAGTGAGAAGTTCTTCATGGAGGCTCGAATAAATGCACTGGAAAAGGAAAAAAATTATGTCCATATGTATTTTATAAGCAATTTTATAGACAATCTTATAAATGTACTGCAAATGCAAAATGGCCTCATTTGTATTTACATGTCAGTCATTTCATCAAAAAGTGAATCCCTGAGTCACATCAGTGATACAATTTGTACAATATTTGCTCAATTCTGACTTGCCCCTATTTTATTAGTTTCATACTATATATTACCATTTATTGTGGAAAAATTAAACAAAAATTTCACAAAATCTGAGTGTTACTTTGAATGACTCCTAAGACATACAAACATAATATTATAGTATTTTCACACACACACACACACACACACACACACACACACACACACACACACACACTGAACACTTACTTTAAAAGCCCAATATTTCTGGCTGGGGTGACCCTCACTTTACCATCAGGTAGATCCACCACGTCGTCACAGGATACCACCTTTAGTCTCATCATTCTCTTCCCTGGAGACGCTGCCCCTCTGTTTCTTCTGCCACCACGCAGACACATTGTCTGGGGAAATATTTTTAAAAAATAAAGTTTTTTTTTTTCTTCAGTTAACAGCTTTATATTGAAATGGTTTACATTCAATATTTTGATGTCTAACAGTAGGTACCGNAACCATAACTACCTATTCAACTGATAATTTCTTCAGGCAATTCACACTCATTCCAGCTTGTGTTGGGGCTGGCCATTCCAGAGTTCTGCTTGTGGCCTAAAATGGTAAACAACACTGTCAAAATATATTGCCTTGAATAAATGAAATAAGTGTTTGCAATTTTAAACAATGAATAAATTATAGCATCAGTTACTTCCTGTCAAATACGATGTCTTTTATTATAGCTCTACTAAAAAAGTCGTAGGCCTAGTATAATCGCTCACGATCGTGTGCAGTAGAAAATTAATTATCTTCAAAAATATGAGGCCCTTAGTCCTTAAATTAAATCAGTACAATTTTTAGATCATATGTAACACTAGCACAACAGAAACGTGTCACAATTTTTTAATATGGACACACTAGGAAAGTTCTGATGTCCATTGTTTGCCTGAGGCCTCGTCCGTAATACGAACCAAATTCACTCAACTTTCTTTACCCCAAAACCACATACACATTGAAGAAGTTCGGATATATTTTATATATTTCGTCAAGAAATGCCAAAAGCAATGTGACCGTGACTAGATTAGGGGGTTTCTTACCTTTCATTGTCCCTAAATTAGACAAGTAGACACAAATTTTATGATAAAAACGGCAGAGGAGCTTTCGACACGCTCTTCGCGGGCGCAGCCATGTTGTTGACGGCACACGGGTTGATATCTTTGATCGCCTGGAGAATTTGCGCCCGTGGATTTGTAATTTAGTTTCGAATATCATTAAAATCTACAGAAGTTGCACTTTATTTTGATATATAGTTTGTGGGGGGTAAATAATTTGCATTATATAAATATTTTAGTTTTTCTTTCGACAAATCTTTAAAACTTACCTTTTTTTGTCGACTTTTATAATTTTTCCTTGGTGGATATTTTCGAATGTTACTTCGTTGGCTAGCTCTTCTTTTCAGCTTTCAGATGACAACAAAAACATGCGTGTGCAAGTATTAGCGGAAAATCCCCGACACGTTTTCTAATGCCTTGTCAAGGAGCGCATTTGCACCTAAGCGCTGCTGTGCTGTCAGCAGCTGTACAATGCTGCTTAACTGCGCGTAACATGTTTTAATCAACTCTTACTAGACTACGTTTTTTAATGTCAAATCTAGCTTTGTTCTATATGATTTGAAAGAGCAACACCTGCCCTTTTATATGGTATAAAAATATAGGGGGTTACTATTAAATTTAATACTGAAATTAAACCTTGAAAATGACCTTTTTGGTCCTTTTAAGCAGGTTTTTCTGTGCGTTATGTGCTTGCTGCCGGTACCTACTAACAGAGCTACTTCATCAAGGAATCAGGCTATTCAGGTGAATAGCCTTTATTCAGGAGATATGCTTGCCTCCCAACCCCCCGACCCCATTGCCTTAGGAATTCATATAACATAACACAGCTGAGAAAATACAAAAGATATTCATAGACTGCAAGGCTGGCAAATGCACAGACAAAGTGTAGTATCACCACAAATACACATGGTCTGGGAAAGAGAAAAAAAAACTATAGACAGTAATGCTTGGAAATGCACAGACAATGTATTGTATCACCATGAAGGCACACTGTCTGATAGAAAATATCACAACAATGGGATCAACAGAGGGTGTTAACATTTTTAACTGGCCATGCCTCCACTATGCCCAACATGATACAACTAGACAGCAAAGCTGACAAAAATACAATCAGATATCACAGGAAAGATTTGATAATAATGATAGTGTACATAAAAGAGAGAGAGAGAGAGAGAGAGAGAGAGAGAGAGAGAGAGAGAGAAAGAGAGAGAGAGAGAGAGAGAGAGAGAGAGAGGGGGGGGGGGTTTGGTGACAATAACTAACCTCAAATAAGGTGATAGCTATCCTGTTTATTATTTCCATGACAACAATCTCAGATGTAATCTGTAGTGCTGTTTCATAATCAATTTCTGTGCGGCTAAGCAGGCTTTCTAAGTCATACTTTGGATAGTTGCTGAAATAAATTTTAAAAAAACAAACGTCAAAGTTTTGTGAAAAAAATCCACAGGGATCACTTTTACATGAATGAAATTTCAAATTCTTATTTATTAAACAGTGTTCAGTTATCTTATAAAAACTATAATGCACACTCACTTATGGAAGTGTTTTTGAGATGCAGATGTGAAGTCACAAGCAAGGATAGCAACTTGCAACTTTTAAATAAGGAAAATCCCTTTTATGTTTTTTATCTTTACAGAATAAACATTCATTACAACTGTACCTCAATTTAAACTGCTCAGCAACCATGAGTGTCAATGTTATTTTCATCATAAAAAGAAGAACAAAGTCCAAAAATTCAGCTGTGACCCTCTTCCACAACTGTGGTATTGTGTAGACTGAAAAAAATGATGAACAGAATGATAACATGATGACAGTATTTGCCTAAGCAGCGATCACCCAGTTGTAAGCAGTGTTATAGTTTAGCTTGGCATCATCTTTAACACAAAAATTTCCAATATATGCTGAAGAGACCTAAGCATTACACTTTCAATTTCAGGTCAATTAAGTAAAGCAGGACATTAAAGTGAATTTTTAGAGTTCCTTAAGTTAATCAATATCTCTCTCTCTCTCATTTTCCCTTTCTCCCTTTCTCTCTCATTTTCTGTGTGTACCTGCGTGCATGCATGTGTGTGTGTGCGTGTGTGTGTGTGTGTGTAGGGGGGGGGGGGGGAGAGAGACCCACCTTCACCAGCCTGTCCTTGGAAATTCTGTTGCGCTGGCTGTTCTCTAGCCTGCGGTTGAGGGGCAGCAGCAGCAAACGGTGGAGGCGGCTGTTGTGATAAATTGCCACCGACTCCATTCATTGTTTGTTGTTGTTGTTGCTGCTGCGCCTGGTAAGCTGCCATTACGGCGTTCACGCTTGATAACATTTGGACCTGCTGTGCCATCATCGCCGCAGAACTGAGTGAATACTGGTAATTTAACCACTCTCTCACCGCCGTTACGTATTCTGTGGCCGTCTTACATGGCGTTATAGAGTATACAGGATAAGATGCACCCGTAAATCCTGGCATTCCACTGGGAAATCCTGTCTCTGGGGCGTTTGGAGACATATTTTCGCCTGTTCGGCGATTCCTTATGTTTTCGTCTGCCATATTGTTTCCGCACAGCTTCGAAATGAAGATTGGAAACCTCCATCTGTAAAGAAGCAATAATGTTTTTGATAAAAAAAAAGCATTAAATATCACATTCTACCTCATGTATGTCAATTATTTAATTCATCCTTCAAAAACCAACATTTTTATTCAAATATGATATCTTATTCACGTCCACAGTGATTGTGTTGCCCCGCCTTTCGGTTTGATGCCCGGTTTTGACTTAAACTAGGTCGATTAGTCACATGAGTCCGTAAACAGGAATCGGGAGATGGATCGTACGAGATATGACATGGTAATTATGCGGTTAAGCATGGGATTTGTTTAAATCGTAGTGGTACATTGTAAAGTATTTTTGTTACAGGTGTCAGTTGCTGTTAGGTTAAATGATGAAATAGAGACATTCATTTATCAATTATGATGTTAAAAATCAGCAGGTTTACTAACGTGACTTGTCACTTGGTAAGTCAATAACAGACAAATGAGGTTTGTAAACGTCAAATCCAAAGGAAGATAAACATAAATAACTGCTGTGCATTATTTATTTCAAGAAAAATACTTCTTAACCGAGATATCTGATGAGCTTTGCTCATGTGTTGTTTTTAAGGACAAGCAACGTGACAGTGCATGTGACAAATTTTGAAAACTTTGAACCTTTTGATTGAAATCACATGATTGATTAAAAAAAGGGAAGTGCATGTCAACACAAAGCTCTTTGTTCATTGTGGAGTATGTTTGTAGCCTTAAGTGCAGGCTGTATAGAATAATCATGTTGCATATGTAACCTAGTTTTTTTCATTTGCTTGAAGAAAAGATTGTGTGTTTGCAGTTACATACCTGTATTTAATTTTTAATATTTTCTATAGCTGTTCACATATGGTAAATATAAAAAAATATGATAGATATAAAAAACATGTTAACGTGTGGAAGACATCAAGATTCATAAACAAAAGTGCTAACACATGAAGTTTTTTCCTGCAATGATAATAATTTGCCTCTGATTTTTATTTCATTTTATTATTTTTCCCCCTTTTCAAAACTGAAACTGATAAGGCGGCAGAATGATTACAGCAGGAAAGTGACTGACTCAATGTGTGACTTCCTGGTTGCTGACACACATTAGAAACAAACAGAAGACATACCTGAGTTCTTGTCTGTAAATCCAAGGCAGAAATGGATACACTACTTATAAAGTTTGGATCGTATTGCACCCTGGTGCTTTTACTTATCCTATGCACCCTACAAGGTGATGGAAAACCTATGCAACATGCAGCTGAATTCAAAACATTACAGGAAATGGGGACTGCAAATCATTTGGATAATCCAAGAATTCAGCAGCGAAACATTCACAAAATGAGGCAGCAACATGGCATTGAACAGGAACATAAAGTTGCAGACAAACGTGCACCAGGAAGCATTCTCAAAAAGTTACATATGCCTGGCATTATTTCGTTTTTCTTAAAACATCTTGAGGAGTACGTATTTGGTGGCACTGACTTGAAGTGTGATGCGTGTAAGGTGGGAGTTAGCGTGGTTCAAGTGATGTTTGCGACAAACAAATCAGAGACGGAAATAGTCAGTGTTTTGATTGAGCTGTGCATCAAGTTCAAGATAGAAACTGAAAAAGTCTGCAGAAGTGTTATACCAGAATTCAAGGTAACTAAAACTGTAAACAAACACTTGGTAATTATTATTTCTCGTGGAAATGTAGCTGTGAAATCAATAGTTGCGTTAGAGAAGATGTTTGTAAATTTGTGCTTAAGAACCCATTTCTAAGATTGTGTGAGAGAAGCAGTTTCTAAGATTGTGTTTAAGAAGACATGTCACATATTTCACTTTCGTTTAATTCCAGAACGAAGTGTTAACAGTCATAGACAAAGTTGCACTCAGCCCTAAAGAGATATGTGGCCTCGTCTTAGGAGGGAGTTGTGCCACACCCTTTGACCCCCTAGCTAACTGGACTGTTCCATTACCTGACACCCCTAAACCACCAGTGGTACAGCCCAGAGACCCCCAGGTGAGTTGAGTTAGCTACAATATACTACACCATATATCACTCATTTTGTGCTCCTGGCCGATATAATAGTCAGTTTTATCAGATTTGTTAAATAACAAATTTATATATTTTTGTGATGCTTCATTTGTTTTTATCTATTTGTTTAACATATTATTGCCCTCTCCCATATTTTATGTAGATTAAAAAAAAACAAAAAACAAAACAAATAAATAAAGAAAGAAAAGGAAAACAAATTAGGGAAAATGGTGTTCTTTTATTGTATGTTGATGATTAAGAAGATTTGTTCTGTTCTTTTATGCTGATTAAGTTTGATGTATATTTGTCTTATTATATTGCTTAGCATTAGTTATATAGACAATATACTGATATGTATCTTACTTTTTCAGCCTGGTGCTCCTAAACTGCAAGTTCTTCAGCTGTCAGACATTCATTTTGATCCTCAGTATATGCATAAAGGGAACGCTGACTGCGATGAACCACTATGTTGTAGAAAAAATAGTGTAGGTAAGTTTCTAGGTCAGGGTTGGCATCTGTAAGTGAGCATGTTTGTCAAGGACAAGGTTGATGAATACAGGTCAAGGTTAGTTTTAAAATCATGACCTTTGTCATAATTTTTCAGCAAATAAACATCACTGTTTTATAATGTTACATATTTAGCAATTTAAAAATTTAGGAAAAGTTTAACTGTGAATGCACTATAAGCCTCTAAAAAAATGAAAAACAAAATGATAATGTGTGGTAAATGTTTTAATGTAGTGTTGCCAGTCAAAAATTTACCTGTAATTATTCATTTATTTATGTATTAATTATTTTAAGGGAAGAAGTTCCGTCCAGCTGGTTTCTGGGGTGACTATAATAACTGTGATACTCCACTTTGGACACTGGAGAACATGTTCAAACATTTGACAAATCAGAAAGTATGTCACTTCTTTTTATCACGTTATGTTTCCTATAAAATGGACGTTATGTTTTATAATCAGGGTTTATTGTGCATGGTCTATAAATACTGAGGTTCTCCTGTTAAAATTGTCATTTTTTAGTCATTGAGATGAGTTACAGTTAAGGAAAAAAAGTATAATGTGCAAAAAAATATGGGATTACTAAGTTAATGTGTTTTGAAATTTAAGAGAAATTGCAGTACATCACTTCCAGTTTGAAATATTGGATTGCTTTTGGTATTTGAAATGTAAGAGTAATTACAGTACATCCACTTCCAGTTTGACTACATCTTGTGGACGGGGGACCTCCCACCCCATGAAGTTAGGGTGTTTGAAATTTGAAAGTAATTACAGTACATCACTTTCACTTTCAGTTTGACTACATCTTGTGGACAGGGGACCTCCCTCCCCATGATGTGTGGAACCAGTCCAGGGCTGACCAGGTCAGTAAGCTGGACATCATACAGAGACTGTTCCTGAAGTATTTCCCTGACACACCTGTGTTTCCAGCCCTGGGAAACCATGAGAGCTCCCCTGTGAATAGGTAAGGAGGGTTTGTCCATCTTTCTGTTGTCTGTCTGTCTATTTTTGAACTTCTTTGGTTTACTGTCTTGTCATATTTCTTTCTTTTTAATTTATTTTTATCACTCATGATTTTGTAAGTTCTGTTTTCTTTTCAGTCGTAGCTTTTTCAAATTCTCTGTCCATCGGGCTATTCAAATACTCATCTGTCTTTTACTTAACAATGCTGTTGAACCGTGGTCAAGAACAATAAAGATGCAAGTCCAAATAACATTGAATGGTGAGCACAAATAAAGTTATTTGAAATAAAATAAAACTGTTCAAAATCTGATATTAAATAACCTGTGCTTTCAGTTTCCCTCCACCTTTTATCACTGGGAACAACTCGATTCACTGGTTGTATGGGGAACTGGCTAAAACATGGTCTGCTTGGCTTCCACCAGATACCATGGCCAATATAAACAAGTATGTGTGTTTGGATCTTTTTGTTGTTATGTCAAACTGTGCACCTAAAGCATACTGCCTTCAATTTAATGGGAAGAAATGTTGTTTTTTATATGCAGCATTGTAGGTTAATTTTTGTCTTTCTACAAAACATGATAACAAATAATAAAGTTAAAAGAAATTTAAGAAGTTTTATTTAAAATAATTAAAAATTATATTACTGGAAGTTGAGAATAGACCAAAGGGAGAGCTGTTGTGTATNGTTCTATTTGCTGATAGTTCGTTATATCCGTTGTTTAACTAAGCATTTCTGTTTTTTATTAAAGCACCGTTGATCTCCTAATATTATATTTTTTCTTCCCGCCTTCGAAATGTTCAGCGCAAACGCGGTGCCCTGCTTTTGATCCAAACCTGCTATATATTTCCTTTCTTTCTACCATATTTTTCATTATAACGGGTTTGTTGGGAACTTATTAAACCTCATGTCTCGATCTCGCTTACTGTTATTGTAGTAGCGGGACAAAAAGCACGTAAACCCAGCCATGGTTTTTAGCACCGCTGTAAGTGTTTCGACGTAGCAGGGCTCCCCTACCCACAATGCAATTACAATTTCCGGAAAAGATGAAAAAGGCTAATACTGCTACCTTTCTATCCAAATCTAAGGGTCTGTTTTCAGAATTAGTAATGTCAACCTAGCTAATGAGCACAAACTCCGCGGGACTCATGCTGAATCATGAATGCGATCTTTGAGTAGAATACAGAAATGCTGGTGAATTTACAAACAATTTGGTAACAAAAGGAGGCAAGTTAGTCTGTTAATCTGATTGCATTCAGCAAGAGTTACCCATGTAGTTAATGTGCATGAGCCACCTCACTCATTCTGAATGGCCCCTTTTGTAATTCTTGTCCATTTCACTAGAGGGGGCTACTTCACCTTGTTGATCAAGAAAGGCCTGCGTCTAGTCTCCATGAACATGAATTACTGCAATACTGGGAACCTGTGGCTGTATTTGAATATGACCGACCCTGCCGGGGAGCTGGAGTGGCTGGTGCAGGTGCTACAGGCGGCTGAGGATAATAAGGAAAAGGTAATCTATTATGGTATGATAGTTGTCCTTTCTAAAGGTCTCCCTCAACACAGCCAAGATCTTTTTAAAATTTTTAAAATATTTTTTACATAACGTCCTTCAGTGTGTTCTCTCTCTCTCTCTCTCTCTCTCTCTCTCTCTCTCTCTCTCTCTCTCACACACAAACACACACACACACACACACATATATGCATATAAACACTGACACTTTTTAATTTGATTTTTATATTTCAATTACTGCTAGTATATAATGTGCTAATGTTTTAGGTCCATATCATAGGGCACATACCACCAGGGACAGAATCCTGTCTCAAAGCATGGAGCTGGAATTATTATAGGATTATTAATAGGTTTGTTTTGCCCTGCCTTTGTTTTCTCCTTCAGCATTTTACACATTTACTTTATATTTTTTCTTTACTCATTTCTATACCTCTTACATTATTGCTGCAGTTCTTTAATTGTGCAGCTGTACTGATTATTGTAATATTTACTATTGAATAGCATTTTTTAATATTTTCAAAATGTATGCTTACCAATAATATGCCCTGTAAGGTTAAGTATGCAAAATTTGCACGGTGCATGTAAGGTGATGTTGAAATTTGCTTATCCCTTTCAACACAATCTGATTGTGATTTAATCTCACCTAACACAATTTCAGATATGAGAGCACAGTTGTAGCACAATTCTTCGGTCACACTCACAAGGATAGCTTCGAGCTGTTCTATGACCTGGAAGACAAAACACGTGTCACAAACATGGCGTACGTGAGTCCAAGTGTGACAACATACAGTTTTATCAACCCAGGGTACAGAGTCTACGAGATTGATGGGGAGTATGAGAATACATCATGGGTAAGAAGACTGATAGTGTTGTGTCAGGGACTTCAATCTCTGCAAATTAACTAGAGGAACTTTTATATTCTAGATTTCATGTAATCTCTCTCTCTCTCTCTCTCTCTCTCTCTCTCTCTCTCTCTCTCTCTCTCTCTCTCTCTCTCTCTCTCTGCATGTTATTTTCTGCTACATGGTCAAGAAAATTATCATAAATTATATACATATTTTTTAATTTTTTGTCAGTTAAATGTTTTCTTTGTTAAACATAGAAGAAATAAGCATATTAGTTTGGTGTGTCCAGGTCTCTCCTGTTTAACTTTAAGAGTCCATCTAGATAATCTGTCATTTGTATATTGCAGACTGTGCTGGACCATAGCACTTACATACTCAATCTGACAGAATCCAATCTCTCCAACAAAACCCACTGGGATCTAGAATACTCAGCAAAGGTAAGTCATCTCTACTGGTTTATTGATAATAATAATAATAATAATAATAATAATAATAATAATAATAATAATAATATAAGTCATGAAAGTTTTTCAAATACAAAAAAGTATCACTTAACATAGGATTCCTATATTAAAAGGCAATTTGTATTCAATCAATTTCTCAAAAATTCTGATGATCTGACTGCTCCACATTATTTTACTTCAAAATTTCATATTAAAAAAAAAATGGAAAAATAGGAAAAGTCAGGATAGTGAGTACTATCCTCTACCAGGGTCACAGACTGATTTTTTCACTAGATATTCACATATATATATCTCTGGCTAATTCATGACACAATTCTCTGCTGTGAAGAAGAAAGAACACAATTAATCTGCGGCCCTGGTAGAGAGTACTCTTTTATACCTGTATTCTTTTTTTCCAGGCAGCTTATGGTCTCTCCAATTTATTACCACCCTCATGGAACAAATTTGTGTCTAGGATGACAACTAATGACACATTATTTCAAGTGTACTACAGGTAAAGCATAGCTGCAGACTTTGCACCATGAATGCTGTGGACTGTTATGAAGAGCATGATATATTATCCCAATTGAGGGTGGGGAGGCAACTTTTAAGTCTGGAACAGGAGTGGATCCAGATATGTTTTTTGACAGTCTTCCAAATTACCTTTGTTGATCCATCCTCGGTTTTTGACCATCTTCAGACAGGATAAATTAGATGTCCGTCAATATAAACTTGAAAAATTCTCACCCAGAAGACGGCCTCCATCCACCCTTGCTAGGGTGACTTTTGCTACAGCAGGTCTTGTTTACATCAGAATTAACATAGACTGTGTATACTTGTTTAATGCTTTCACACTGAAATTTTGTATAAACAACGGCAGTAAGATCCAGACACATTTCACATTGAAGTTCATGGGATGAGTAGCATTTTTTTTTATTTTTACCAAAGCCCTCAGTTGCTTGTTTATAGATGTTCTGACCAATAATGGTCAAAAAAAGGTCTTGTGAAAAAGATATAACTTTTTTTCCAGATATTACTATAAGTCTGCCCCAGGACATCCCCCCTGCACAGGAAATTGTAAGGCGGCCATGTTATGTGATCTCAAGACAGGACGGTCTTACGACCAAACATTTTGTCATGCAGAAGAGATCCTTGCTAAATCAGTTCACAAGGAAGTTCCACTTTGTTAGGGATGACTAAGTGTCCTCAAAATGTCCGATGGTTGGCACAGTTCCAGATGTGAAAGTGTGGAAACCAAGGGAAGAAGATGTTAGACAAACTAATTTTAGACAAAATGGTGTCACTGGGGATCTTGACTACTGACAATCTTGGCAGTTTTTTTTTTTTTTTTTTTCATAAAATTTTTGTCAACCCTTGCCAAACTTGACTCATCACTTTCTTTTATAACATTCCAAGAGGATGTCTGAATGCTTTTTTCTTTGTGGTGCTGTTTACCCTTCTCTTGCTCAATGTAGACTTGCTTACTGGAGGGGCATTAAGTTGGCATTGATGGAAAGAAAGCTAAAAAAAAACACAGGACACCATATTGGTATTAACCAACCAGTTCTTGTCAGTTTGATATTATTAAATGTGATTTAATGATATATTAAGAGGTTGTTATGCATGAGATTAATTATTTTTATTTGTAAAATTAACTAGATCTTGTTATTACTTATATTTGACTTAGGTTTTGCAAAATAAGAAGTTAATGCAGAAAAAACAAAGGTGCAAGTTAATTTTTCATGCATATTTGGGTTTTGATAGCTTTAGTAAAGTAAACAATTTCACAAAACTTTCAGCAGCTAGAAGAGTCTCGGCAACAAATTTGCAAATGTACAGAAGCTATGCAAAAAATAGGGTATAAGTGAGGAAGTTAACTGTTTTATGACATGGCTGTGGAGCAAGTAATTAATTTATCATTTTTGTTGACATTTAGTTTTGATACCTATGAAAAGGGAGGTGTACAAATTAAGCAAAAGATAGCATAGCTCATTCTTTGCATTATGTTATAATACTTTATTAGTGAGATTTTTCCAGTTGTTCAAGTTAAATATTTATCCATAAAGTGAGCCTTTTGTGTGCTATGTGTGTTGCATAGTTTGCTTTAACGCTGTTGCACCTTATGCACTATCTCATCTACTGCATTCTCTCACTTACCACATCATCACATCTGCCACATTTGTCACACCTAACACACTGTTAACCTTACACACTGTCACACCTAACACACTGTTAACCTTACACACTAGCTCACTTGACACAATGTTAACCTGACACACTGTCTCACCCAACACAATGGTGTTTCATTTTGATGAAGTTTTCACTTGTTTATTTGTTTTTGCAGTTATTGGTATGTCAAATGTTGAAGTTATAAATGCTATCTTATCAGTATGAAATGTACAGGAACCTAACATTTGCTCTAGTCATTAACAGATACTTTATTCCACCCTGTACATCAGAGTATGGATTAGGTCTTCCCTCAGGGCTACATGCCCTCTGTATGGGAATGACATGGGGACATGTATGCTGATGATAAAGATTACAGAGAAGTCTGAGATTCGGGGTATTATGCCAGTTCTATTGACAATGTAACGAAATGATTTACATAAAACCTTTCATTGGTGGAGAGGAGATAGAACGTGGGGGGAAGGGGGGTTAGACAATTTCCTCATTATGTTTGCCTGTTGAAAGTAAATGGAAGAAAGAAGGAAGGGTTTGGTGTGTGGAGTTCAACTGTTTGATTTTTTAGCTCAGTGGAAGATAAAGTTTCGTAATGGTATTGAAGAGTAATTTATTTCTGCTCAAATTTCTGTTACAAAGTCATGGTACAGTTTTGTTAATAAACAATGTTATGCCACACTTAACTGCATTTATATTATTTAATGTCTGTGAACTTCCTTTTTAGGAATAAGTTCATTATTTATCTCAAACAAATCTATCCTGTAAAATTACAAAAAGAGTCCAATACAAAACTGTTTTGTGGGGACCTATTTCAAAAAGTCCAAATATTTTAGCTATAGCCGAAGGTGTTTAATCGACTAAAGCCTAGATTGCATTAACTGAACGATAATATCGTATAAGATGGTCTGTGCGATTTTTTCCATCATAGGAGGCTACGGCTAGTGCGTTCACATTACGTGCGGGTGCCGTACCACTGACCTTGGGGTAACAGATACTAACGCAGGGTAAATTGTTTGTCGGTTGAAAAGTAATCTTACGGAGCCCTTTCAGCCTCGGCGCAGTTGCCGCACTCATTCCATGCGTCTTCCTTGAAGGTCGTACGTTGTGGGTGCAGCCCTCCAGTACGACGTCTGAAGCAAACTTAAGAATAAACTTTTACTACATTATAACTACAGTACCAAAGAGAAAAAGAGATTCCCATGGGTAATCATAAAGATATATACGGATAAAACGACATGTCTACAAAATGACTAATGAAAAATTTTTAAATGTCAACATATTTTTGCTCTGTCACACCGCCAGAGATACGTATTGTATGAGTAAATTACATGTGTCATCGGTTATACGCATAACTTCGAATGTGTTCCGTAAAAGTGTATCAATTCAAAAGTCAAAATTTATAGTTAAATTTAACAACACAAAAGTCTCATTAAACGAAATTTGATGTAGTTTTAAGAGGAATTTTTATTTCTAAAAAGGCCTTTTTATTGATCTTTTGTCTCTCTAGTGTACCATGGTGCCCATGCGTCACACGACCAACTTAATGAAAACTTGATTGTTCAAACAAATTAGAGAGAGATCTCTTGCGCTTCTCTGAAACTTTTATTTAACTTTTATTCTTTAAACTCTAATATGGCTTTTAATATCAAGAGGAATATATAAACGGTCATGGTAACCCCTCCCTCTGCAAATGAAATTGGTTGGGTTATCACCGTTTCTTTTTTAGCAAGAGATCTCAAAAAGTTATATCATTAACTAATTTCTTTCGTGCTAGCTGACCCTGAACATCAGACAAGCAATAAATAAATAAATAAATAAATAAATAAATAAATAAATAAATAAAATAAAATAAAATAAATCGTGGATTTATAACATGAAAACTGAGCAAATCCTTTCGCAATTCGACTTTTTATTTTGTTATGAAATTATGATGATAAGGATAGTTATAATGATAACGGACACTAAAAGTGTAG